AAACCTGCTCAATGTGGTGGAATGAATCACCATCATCAATACTGAACACAAGAAGAGCAATGTCAGCATTTCTATAGAACTGTCTTGTCAATGTTTTGTGCCGTTCCTGTCCTGCTGTATCGTAGAGGTGCAGCTATTAATCATTATTTATATTAGATATAATTTCATGAAAAAGCAGCTTACTTCTACTGTTGTGTGAGGATTTGCAATAACAATAGTTTTGCTGACAATATCAGGGTCTGTTGTATGTTTAGGATTCTTCTTCACTTCATGATTTTTAAATAATTTGAATATTGACGTTTTTCCAACGGCAAGATCACCAATAAAGAGGACCTATGGCTGATAATGAATGTTGCTGTTGCAGACTATCTTGTAACTTGCTTTTATCGTCTCTCCAACGATGGCCATATTTTTGGGGCTAGCCTCCTTTTGAAGCAGCAATGCGTGGGTGCAGGCACAGCTGTACAGTACAGGCAGCAGCTAGCACCACCCTACCGTTATAACGTTAAATAAATAAAATTAAATGAATAAAATACATGAATTACCTGTAGATGTACATGCATGTGATTACTTGTAGAATTTTATAACTTTCACTAATTACATCAATAGTTGTAGTGTTAGTATATTACAGGTATTATTGCACACCATTTTTCATCAGAATGATAATTTTTAATTGAAATTATAGTAATTATTATGCAGCTGCAATGACTGAACAGAAGCAACATGATACGATTAGATAATACAGACATGTTGGTTGACCACATCTAAGGTATTATCAATATGTTACTATTATAGTACATAGTAACCACAGCTATTAAATTGTGGTGTAATTATTATGCCTGTATTTAGTGTTGGATACTTGCAGGAAATGGTGTCAGTATTATGTTGTTAACCTCAGCAAGACTGACCTATTCATATTATCTCCTATTCATATTCCTATTCATACATCTCCTTATCAGTGACATCATTGAGGCATTCATAAAGTTCACACTGTGTAAATTATTGTTATCAAAAAGTAAAAGTATCACTTTACTCATGGCCTAATAAAGTTTGCACGTCACTTAATTTCAGCATTTTGAACACCATCCATCATCTCGTGGAGCTGGCTCATCATCATTAATAATCACAATGTCTTCTTTCGTTCCTCCTCCTCCTTTCTTTATCACATGGGTCACAGCTTCCTTAAGCACGCTGTACAACTTTTGAAAATCATCATTTTTAATGGCAGACATTTCAATAAACCTCATCTGATATTGCTCAGCGAATTGTTTGCTAGTTGATTGAGGGTTAATCCTGTCATCAGCCAGATCAGACTTGTTACCAATCAGAATCATCTCGGTGTTACCCTGTCTGTTAGTAGCCATCTCTTTCATCCATATCTCTCCAATGTGGTGGAATGAAGGACCATCAGTGATGCTGAAAACAAGGAAGGCAATGTCTGCATCTTGATAGTACTGTCTTGTGAAGGTCCTAAACCTTTCATGACCAGCTGTGTCATAAATCAAGAGCTAAAATAATTACCATTATCAATCATCTAATAAATAAATCATAAATCTAACCTTTACAGTCTCATGTGGTGGCCCAATGACAATGTTTCTTTCTATTGTCTGAGGATTAATTGTGACTACAGGAGACTGGAAGACTTCATGATTTTCAAATAATTTGAATATTGATGTCTTCCCAACACCAGAATCACCAACAAAGATTATTCTGAGCTGTTTTCCTGCACCTGCAACGTTTGAGGCCATGGCTTTAAAAATTTAAGGGCAGGCAGCTTTGATAAAAAGCCAACCACTCCTTTGCTACAGCTTTCAACTTCCATATAAGGCTACATACCCTTCTTTAATAATGCGTGGGCTTTGAAGTATTGCAAATGCAGCCTGATGCACCTCGGTGGTATTTTATTCAAGGGACACCTAGAATGGAAAATATTAAAAGTACATAGAAATAATTGTGCAAGTAGTCTTCAACAAGGACATTGACTTCTTTTTTGTTTTTGTTGCTGTACTGGAGCCTAAGAGCAACATGTTATGTTTACTACTGTTGTTTAGTTAGTTATAATTATTATTATCTCTGCATAGTATTGGACACCTGGAGAGAATGTGTATCATGTTGCTCAGTAGTCTCACTCCTTATCAGAGACATCATTGACTGGCTGGCATTCATAAAGTTCACACTGTGTAAATTATTGTTATCAAAAATAGTAAAAGCATCACTACTCATGGCCTGATAAAGTTTACATGTCACTTTCTACACGATTTACAACATGGGTCATTTTTAGGGTCTGGCTCATCATCATTAATAATCACAATGTCTTCTTTCGTTCCTCCTCCTCCTTTTTTTATCACATCGGCCACAGCTTCCTTAAGCACGTC